CAGTATGTTATCACGCAGAGGCATGCCGTGTGCTCAGTTATTTTCTGGAGTTCCCTCTAATAATGTGTGAGAAGATGTAAGTGCCCAAAGAGGGCTTCACAAGGAATGAACAGGACAGCATCTAACCAGGCAAGCAGAAAGTTCTGTGGAAGGAGATGGAGACAAACATTACAATCTTTCTCGTACAGAGGAAACTGTTTAGAACAAATGCCTATTTCTGCTATTACAATGCAACCTACTGTATTTTTAAGAACTAAGGTCATCTTGCATACTTTGAATGCAGTTCTTTTGTAAATTTTCACTCAGCAGAACACTAAGTTCCAGCACTATACCCATCAACTCATATTTTCCACAAATCCTAAACAACTAAAGTAAATTTTTCCTGCTCCCTTACATAGAGGTGTACATGCATAAAATTCCATAAGTATTTCTGAACCATAGTAACTTAAAAAAAGATGCATGGTCAGAATCCTTTCTTGTGTATTCTGAATTTTAACCTATTGCAACTTGTCTGATTGCATAAGCTGCCCTTTTTCGTTTTTCTTTTCTCCAAAATGCTTACACTTGGAATAAAGAAAAAAATGCTGCAATAAAAATATTGCATTAACATAGCCATTGCCCTTTCCTGTGTAGTTAAATAGAAGTTTGAACTGCAGAGAAAAGTAATTTATAGCATTGTTTGAAATAGGATATTGCATTTGGTTTAGGTTAAGGAAAATGTAAGGTGGTTACAAGTTACTGTTTTAGATGTAACAGCTTATGAAAAATAATTGCTAGTTTTATATGACTGAGTATATCATGAAATACTCATAAACCTGAAAAAATATATTTAATGTGTCATTTAATACCACTTTTAGTGTGTTTCTAATAGCTTTTTGGATGAAAGCCCTTTGAACATGAATAGCTAAGACAAAAAGGCTGCAAAACTTGAAAAACTTTACTGCCATATATATTCTTGAAAGGTCTAGCAGTACTAAGACACGTTCTGTTTCAATGTAAGGAATCGAGTATAGGAAAATTCCAGCTGAAGAAGCTCACTACAAATTCAAACCATATTATACAGCAACAGAGCTAAATATTTTGCAGGATATCTAAGGTATATTCTCAGCTATGCATAAATGGACTTCACTAGGAAGGCCTAATAACGATGTATTCACTGAAGTGGAGCTTAGTGGTAATAAATCAAAAATGTCCCCAACCTGATGATGTCAGATATTTATTATCGTAGACCTAATTCTGTCCAGTGTGGATTGCTGCATTAATGTTTTTTATTTTGCATACTTGATGAATATTTTTTCCCTTTTCTGGAAATACCATTACAATGCAAAACAATTAAGAATAAAAGTAGAAAACACATGTTCGGACAAATTTTGGAACAGGGTCAATTTAACCCTCAGAATGCCAGAGCCATTAGGGAGCACAGGTCATAAACAGCAGCTCCCATTCCCTGTTAAAGATTAAATGTTCTTTGTGACAAAATTGTTCTCTGCCAAAGCAACATAATTATATAAGTGATGTACTGCAACAGAAGGAAAAGATGAAGAACTCTAGATTTCTTTTCACAGTGTTAAAAAAAAATATATAGAGAGAAATAAGGCCAGTGCAACTGCACTCTATAGACCATGCTTTCCCATACTCATACGTACATCCATTATGTAGAAATTTTAAGTTAATTTTTTGCATTTACAAGTCACAGAGGACATTGTCAAATACTATACACATACCTGATGTTTTATCCTTCTTTCACACTCTTCAGCTACCTACTCTAATGGAAATAAAGGATTTTTCCTACCACCATACTTCCTCAGGAATGGTGCCCAAAAAGCAGGAGGCAACCTTAGCTGAGTGTCACAAACGATGGAGTGTCAGTAGCAAAAATTACATGGAAATGCACTGATGTTCTTCATACTTTTCTTCAGTAACTTCTGGCACACATTTCTTGCCTCACTCATCATAATTCCCTGCAAAAATATCTCTTCCTATTATTTCCTAATGATGCTTTATATATAGTATCACCCATCACCTCACCTTTCCTACTTCCAACACACTCAAACACAGAGGTGGAAGTATGTCTCTGTCATTTCTGGATCCAGTGTCAGTGGTAGTACACTGATGCAATTTGTTATTTTATATGCTGAAATTTTATATGCTTTCTGATGTAAATTTGCTTTGTATTTCTGGCACAATTAATCTGCAATGCAGATGAACTACATCTGGATAAAAGAGAGTTGATTAACCACATGTATTTTTTTAAGACATTATTACAATTCTTTTTTTTTTTTTTTCTTATTTATACTCAGTTCTACTGCCATCAGTATTTGGTTTATGAGTATTTTGGGCAGCCCAGTATGCAGTAAATGTTCTAGCCATTATTGCTGAGTCAGATACTTGTAAATTCTTTGGTTTGGCACAGTATACACAATAAATACTTTTTTTTTTTTTTTTTTTTTTCTCTCTCATTGTATTGTAAGGTCATATTTATTCTGCTATGCTTTAAGTCATTCTAATTACTCTTTGTTCAGATGGCTAGTAAGGGTGTATAACTTGGACTGCCTTTTTTCATGTAGATTGGTATTTCAAAGATGAATCTTACTTCATATGTTTTGGTCCATGCATTTAGACTCTGAATTTTGTGAACTCTCCATGCAACTACATTCCTGAATTATCCCTAGAATTATCCTGAATGTCTCTGTTAAATAAAACTTAGATAAGTCTTAGACAGGAAAATGGCAATTTTTTTTTTTTTTTCATCCATTTGCTAGTTTTCTGTGTGTTCTGCTTAAAAATAAGCAACAAATATACTTAATAATAAGTCTATTGCAAGACTTTGTGAGGGAGATAAATAATGACATACATCTGCAAAAATTCTGTGACCTGAGAGACAGCTTATTCAGGATGGCAGCGCACCTTTGCTATGTTCATTTTAATGTGCATAAAGGAAGTTAGGATGACATACAGCTATGGATACTGATGTATATGGATGCCACGTGTCAAGGCGTTAAATCTTCCCAGTATTAATGTGTTGACCTTATTTAAGTTAGGGCTATATGAAGAAAATGAGGATTCAGCAATAGTTTCAGACCAGGAGTCTTGTAAACTAATATCATGAAGAAATAAAGGACAGACATATTCCAGCCTGCAGGCTGAAATAACTGTTTTAACAGTTGGGAGTTGGAAAGAACTGAGTAATTTTAGAAACAGCCATAACCATTTTTAGCTGGTTAAAAGGCTACAACCATATAAAAGTGCTAAGATTTTTTTTATAAAATACATAATTTCTTCAAAAATGGTAATTGATTGACATACATTTTTATGGATCAAACAAATCTGGTGGGATGAGAAATTGAGAAAGAGAAGCCTTCAGGATTAATTTGCAGGGAGCAAGGTAGACTGTCTTAGAAAGGAAGACGGACAGACAACTGATAAGAAAGATGTCTGTGTTTTATTGTTTCAGAATAAATACAACTTCTTGCACTTTTTAAAAATTCTAATTACCAATGTTCTATGGTAAGGAGAACATTTGATAACTGATGGCCAATTTAATTGTTCCAGAAGAGAAGAAAAAAAAAAAGTAGACTTGGTGTGGTGAATCATGGCTGATTCACTATAGACTGCATCTTGGTCCAATTATGAAATCAGGGAAAAGAAATTACCTTGACAGACATGTGACTGAGATCACCTGCAGTCCCGAACAATTACATTTGGAAAAGACAATAAGCCTGAGAAAAGATATCTGATACATTTTAACAGACATAAGCTTATGTTGGATGGGGGAAGCCTTTTTAATGACCTCAGGATTCTTTTCTGCTTGTTCTGAACAGCCTGGCATTAATTCACAGAAAGGCTCTCAGAAGTCTCAAAAGGACTTAAAAGCTTTTGTAATCTTAAATATGATATACAGCTATCATTTTAGTAACAATACCAGAGAAGGTCTATCACAGAAAAATGACTTACCATCATTCAGTATTTCCAAATGAAACAGTAAGAGCACAAGAATGTTTGAATTTTTAGACTTTTAAAAAAGAATTTAAAAGTAACTTGAGAGATATAAAATCAGTTCCCAAATCAAAATGTTGATTTCTAAAACTGCACAAAAGCTGCTTCACTTGAGGAAATAGATATTAGATATTAATAGATATACAAGAATATTAATAATGTTTTCATTGTTGAGCCCTAATTTGATTCTTTTTCAGTAGTTCAAACTTGAAAGCAAACAGTCCAGCAAATACACTAAGAATCTTTTCTTGTTTGTTTCTATTCAGAGTGTTGTGCCAATAAGTGGGTAACTTCTTCAGAGGATCAATGAATTCTGGATAATGTTAGTGGAAGGCAGATGAAAATCGACTTCATTTTTTCAGCTTTTGAAATTACTTAGATTGATAAACACAGAATCAAGATCAACATGAAAACCGAGGCAGTAAGACTAGCAATAACAAGTATACACCGTTAAGAACAGCAAAGACTGATCTGCAAGTTAAATAAATCATTATAGTTCTACTTTTGCTGTATGGGAGCAGAGGAAATACTTTGTTGGTATTTTGTTTGGCCCTGTCTTGTGGAGGTGGAACTCAGTGAAGGACGGGCTATTCCTTCTGAAATCAGAGGAGGTATCTCCATGTAGCTCAGCTGCCGTACAGCCCTGTGGTTGGCAGCATCAGGCCAGGAAGGTAGGATGATGTTTTCTTCCATTCCTGAAGGCAGCTGAAATCTACTCCTTTTTAGAATCAAAACAGATGAAGGATGAAGGAACAGATTAAAAAAAAAAAAAAAAAAAGACATTTCAAGAAAGTAACTACTGCTGGTTTAGTGGTTAATCTGTTCAGGTCAAGTCTGAGTTGGTTTAAGTCAATTTTAAAATCTAACGCTCATCAAAGCTGAGCAAGTGGTCTTGGCATGCAAGGTCAGGAAGAACAAATGGAATAGTTATTCAAGTGCTTTCAAAACTGTCTTTTAAGTTTTAGTCTGCAAACAACAGATTATTTATTTCTGAGTGACAGGCATATAAGGAAACAAGGAAACATCCTTCACTAACAAAATGAAGCACTGTAGATAATTTCAAATGCCACATTGATTTACCCTAATTTTAAAATTTGACGCAAGATAAATAATTTCTTTATTATATTCTGAAAAAAATAAAAAAAGGTGAACAAACCTGTGAAAATGCATGGCAAAATGTTGAAAAGAAGTGCCATCATTTACTGTCACTAGTGCCCAAAACATCCAGCAATAAAACCCAAATGTGAACCTGGCATGCAGCAGGGAAAACATAAATCGATTAGCAGGGTAGAGAGAGAAGGGAAGAAGCAAATATTATTATCATATTATGCAAGCTACTCTTGTCTATTCATCCATATGCTATTTATATTGCTCTACTGTAAAAAAAAACAACCAACCAACCAACCAACCAAACAAGCAAACAAAAAACAAACCCTTTTTATTCTTCATATATATGTTTTATAGGGAATTAATACCTAACATGTATATACTGTACAGATCTTGCCTTTAAAAATCCAGTTGCCTTTTCTAGACTTTCTTGCCCTTCATATTCCATTTCCAAGCTTTTCTTTAACTCACCAAGTTCCAACTCTTTACCTTTTAAGAACCAAAAGTGTACTTAGCAGTTCTGCTGTAACTGTCTGAAAGATAACCATGGGCATCAGCATCAGTATGCCATTAAATGCCATCAGTATGCCATTACATTTAGCCAAGACCACCTATGCCAGAGCTGAGGTTCACGTAACTGAAGAATGTTATACAACAATCCCATTTTGTGTACCAGTTTTCTGCAAGGACTGTGGAAGAAATCTGTGAAGCAAAGCACCGGCAGAGTAGTTCTGCAGCCACAAGGTGTTCTTCACACCTGCTGCCATGCCTCAAATTGTACTCTAAATCCTAACAAATGAATGAATTTAGTTCTTCTTGAAAAATACGTTTCCCTGAATAACATTTTCCAGCGAATGTCTCTTTCAATCCTCAGAAAGCTCATTTAAATGTGCCTCAAAGGCAAAACACAAAAAAATAAGTTTTTTATGTTTTTAAATTCACTAGGCATTCTTGTATGAATCTTACTCTTCTGGCACAGGATTTCAAGGCTTCAAATTGCCACTGAAGGTGCAGAAAAAGCCTATTGAGTTCACCAGATTCCCTAGGTCTGGACTGCAGATACTCTTTAATTCATAGCCCTCACCATTATTATCCATCCTCTAATTGCTTGTTTTCTTTCCCTCCCAAATAGGAAGCCTATGCTCAATCAATCTGTTTCTAGCATATTCAATTAAAGCACCATTCAATGCATCTTCAGACTTACAAATTTTTCTCTATAGGTAAGAAGACTCATGATTACATTCTGTTTTATAAGGAATAATTTCCTTTTTGCATAATTTTTACTATGCATGCCCCAAAGCCTTCTAATCATACTGTTCCCAGACAGATTCAGCATCTGAATTGTTACACAGCCGGTTTGAAAGCTCACACTCCAAAGTTGTAAAGAAACCCTGCAAATACACTTATATTCACTTAGGCAGCCCGGAGTCTAGAGAAGGCATCCATTACCATTTTAATTCTCTTTAGGCATGTCATTTTTAAAGATCCCTGCTTTAATCATTTCATTGTTACATTTCTACTCGTAAGTTACAATTTTCTGGCTTTGAAGAGATAAAGACCAACACTGAAGATTTTGTATGTATCCAGCAGTGATGGAGATGAATCAGTATTACAACACCATAGCCTCTTTTAACACTGAACAGAAATAAATCTGTATGTTTTAAATGAATCAAATCAGTGTACCTAGACATATTTATAAAAATGTCAGCATTAAAACAAATTGTGGTAATAATAAGCAAAGCTTAAAAACTCAAGTGTTACTAAAGAAGAGGACTAGCTGTTTGGTTGAGATTTTAAAATGAGAGCTCATGTTTCCAGACTCTGCTTCAATAATTATTTTAATTGTGTTAGGATTCGTCTTTCCTTTCCCCATGAGGGGGCAATCATGCTTATCCAACCTGATAGCCTTCTATGATGAGGTGACCAGCTCAGTGGATGGCTTTATGACACTGTCCACCAATAACACCCTTAACACCCTCACAGGAAAGATGGCAAAGTACAGACTAGGTAATTGGATAGTGAGATGGACTGAAAACTGCCTAAACTGCCAGACTCGGAGGGTTGTGATCAGCAGCACGAACTCCAGCTGGAGGCCAGTCACTGGAGTTGCACCCCAGGGGATGATACTGCCTCTAATACTGTTTAACCCCGTCACAAATGACCTGGATGACGGAACAGACTGCACACTTGGCAAGTGTGCAGACAGTACTAAATGTGGAGGAGTGGCTGATGCACCACATTGTTGTGCTGCCATCTGGAGGGACCTTAACTGGCTGGAGAAATGGGCAGTTTGATTATTTCAAACTGAACATATAAAATGCAACCGCATTAAAAAAAAAAAAAAAGTAAAATACAGATTTGAAAACGTGGCTTTCTTTACAGATTCTGGAAGCAAACATACCCTGTAATTTACATTTTGATAACTGCAAGGGAAAGAAAAAAAATGATGCCAGAATGGACTCCCAAAATTCAGTGGTAAATCAGGCAGCTGTCCTAAAAGCATCAAACTTGTTTTAAAGACTTAAAGTCATCTCTGCTCATTCTTATGTTATTAATGCATAATGAGATTCTTCACTAAAATCAGCAACTACAGTGCAAATATGCAAAAAAAGAAAAAAAAAAGAAAGGCTTTCAGGGCATGCCTTTTTGACTACAAATGACTGAAACTCTCAATTACTTTATATTCATACAGTATAATAAACTACAATATAAATATAAAAAATGTAATGCTAAACACATGAAACAACTATATTTATTGGTAGTACAGCAATTCAGTATAATGATCATAATTGGTCTCTTGGAGTACTGCTTTTTTTTAAACCATTAAAAATGCAGCATTGATGACTGCATGTGAATATATATAAATAAACTTCCCTGAGGTGTATCATTAAACATCACAGATGTATACCTAAATCACTTATGGAAATTTCTCTAGGGTTGTGAGAGATTTTTTTATTGTCTTGGAAGAGGAACACGCATCTAGAGAAAGACTTAGGGGCTCACTTGTACTATTTGACCTTTTTATTAAGGGAAGAGAATGTGTTTACAGTGAAAGTATTGTAAATTTTATACTTTAAAGCAAATAACACCACCAACTCTTTTAACAGGAAACAAAGTGTTCTGGTGAGTATATAGCATTCACAGTACTGGTATGTGACTGTGTGGACAAAAACTAACAGACAAAACCAACAACAACAACAAAGCATTAACTACTTACACAAAGCTAGAAAGAGAACAGCTAGTTAAGCTTAACGGTATGTCACTGAAAAGCAAGTACATTTTTGTAAACCTCTTCAAAACATTTTAAAAGAGCCCCAGTCTCACAGCTCCCTTGTTTTCAGTTACTGAATTTATCTGGTGAATTACTGAAAGCAATGGGGTCTAAATGCCAGCTACTTCACGCACATGATAGATATGGTCTACAGGACAAATATGATATATGTGATAGCATGAAATGCATTGCAAAGTTAGGCGTTTTTAGCCTGGATAAAGAAAAGAAAAAACAAAACAGAACAAAACAAGCAAACAAACAAAAAAACACACTTAAATGTTATCAGAGTTCTTGAATGTTCTGCTTTTCCATAAGGGGCTCTTCCTTTGTCATAGTAGAACTGAAAGGAAAAACACAAACAAAAAAAAAGACAACAAAAAACCACTACTAGTTATGTGTTCAACAAAACAAGTAATTGTTTCATTCCTCTGTTTATACAGGGAAAATCAAACCAATGTCGTCCCTCCCCCCAACAAAAACAGCAAACAGCAGTGAAGGCCAAAAGCATTTAGAAATGCTAGAAGCTCGTATGCACTAAATAACAAGTAATTCAAACCTACTATTTGCTGAAGGGGGAAAATTGCCACCAAGGTTTACAGAGAAATGACTACATGGAACAGAAACAACTACCCAAGAAATGCTTTTAAGACTTTTGGTCAAATACTAATTCCACAGATATGATGGATTTTTTAATGCAATGGGACTCTGCAAACACATTTCATACAGGTGCATATATGTTCAGTAACTGTCACTGCAATTACAGGGACGCATCACAGACAAGCCCTTTGTTCTCTTACTTTCCAATCTTGAACACTGTCAGAGAATGCAAGACAAGCCATGTTTAACTTCTAGCTCCCATATCTCTGTTATAAAGGACTTTGTTTCTAGAGGTACACCATTCATCTCCTTTTTCTCTTTGGAGTTCCCATGTCAACATTTAAAGAAGTTACCTGATCTAACCAGAGATTTTCAGTCTGAGAAGCTTTGTTCTGTAGTACTGTCTCTTTCTTTCTAATGAGGGGGCCATGGTTGTCTTCTTACGTGTCAAGAGCTGCATGTAACACTTCTAAAATGAAAACAAACATACTTTGACTAGGGTCAGAATCAACTAAGAACAGAAGGTGAGTCATTGTAAGACATAAAAATCATGAATATAATGCTTCCTCAAGGACAAAAGAAACCCTGACAGTTACTTGAATGTATGGTTCAGAATTAAAGCTGAGAAATATAAACAGAGATTATTTTTTCACATTGTTCTACCATAATAAAGAACATGATGCAGGAAAACCATACTCCCCATAACCATGCTGCAGCAATGAGCTCAGTAAACCATATTAACTGTATCTCATATTAGAATTGGAGAAATGTGAGTTCTAGCCCTAATTGTCCCACTGAATTGCTGCCTTGCCTCAGGTCTCGCATTTGTCATTTTTGATACTTGCTTCTCTATCTCCAAGAACTACTTAATTGCCTTTGTAAAGTATCTTACCAATCTTTAAATAAAGCAAAGATTTAGAGAGAGGTAATATTGTTTATTAGACAAAGCAGTATAGCTTTGGACATACAAGTCTGTGGACACACAAACACTCCAGATATTATGAAACACTACAAAATTTCTAAGACATTAAACACTGACAAGAACCCATCTAAAAACTAACCTAATATTTTTGCTCAAGCAATTACTGCTACTTCTGTTCCCATTTAAGTTGTTTATGCTAAGAATACAGACTTTAAGTTCATTATAGAAGTGACCTTTTTGTACTTTCCTCCTCCCTTCCCCCCACAAAAACCAAACAGCTATACAGAACAGTGATTCTTTCACAAAGAACTGAATAAGACAAAAAATACAGATAAAAATAAATTAGGATGCAAGTAAAGACAAAATCCACAGCAAATATACGTAAGAGGACAGAAACAGGATGCAAAGGCAAGTATGATGATTGTGCTCTCTCCTAATATTGGACCACTTTGTATTCTTAATATCCTTTATCTTAAGTCCATGCATATTTAAGCAAATACTTGCAAAAACCCATCAAGATAATATCAGGTCTCAGGCTTTTAACATGTGCCATCTATTCCTCTCCACTGCTAACATTCAGTTTTAATGCACTTGCAGCAGTCACAGGTATACACATGCATGCTTTATTCTGAGATTTATTTCCTAGAAATACTCCTCCTGTTGAACAAATGAATAGTAGTATTCTGACTTTCATAAAAGAAAAGGAATGCTAGCACATTTTCAACAAAACAGAATCTGCAGTTCTCTGTTTGTTTGTTTGTTTTCCCAATACGATAATCAGAAGATACTGTTATATTCTGGTATTAAATCCAAATTCAGATGCATTTTTCATTGAAGGAGATTATGTATCTTCCTCAATAGAATTAGAATTTATTAACATGGCTTAAAACAAACTACAACAGTTCACACAGTTCACTGCAGAAGACTGTCCTCAGTCTCAGGCTGATTTTAACTGCAAAGGGAACTATTAAAAAAATAGCACTATATGATTACAAAAACACAGGACTGGAAGAGATTCAAAACCAATCCTCTACTACTCCTACCCCGATGCAGGATCCAATTCTCTTTTGTTGAAATTCATCCAGGAAAGAGTAAAAAAATGACTTCTCACAAGAAAATATGCTATGGTTCTTCACTGATGTTACCATTAAAATGATTTTGATAGATTTAATAGATAACAAAAACAAACAAACAAACAAACAGAACATCCTCGCCTCCCAGATGGAAAGTAATAGGAGCAAATAGAGAATGTTATATTTTCCCCAGCTAATCAGTGATCTAGGATAGGTCAATAACAGGATGGATCAAGTAGGAAACACACAATGAAGAATAACTGGCAAGGTAGTGGTATATTTGGGATTATAGTAGATTAAAAACTGATGAATCAAGAATGTCATTCTATTTCAGATAAAGGCCATCTTGGCATGTAAGGCGAACAAGGTAATCCTACCACTACTCAGGACTGTAAGGCCACAGCTGCCACGCTTCAAAAGCCAAGCCCATACTATGATAAAGATATGAATCACATGGACAAAGTCTAGAGGCGAACAGTGAGTGGTCCAAAACCTAGGAGGAATTCAGAGGAAAGTTGAAAAATTAGTCTTCCAGATCTATAAAAGAAGATATTTCAAAATATGCAAAATCTTCTGCAAAGAGAATGCTTTTAGAACTCAAAGTAGATAGAACTGTTAGAAATAACTTGCAGCAAAGGAGGTTTAGATTAGATGTTAATTAAAACTTTACAAGAACACTGAAACAGACCATTTGAGTCTGAGTCTCCATCATCAGAGTTGGTTGTTGTTTTTACAAGAGGGTGATATAAACCTCTATAAGAAACATCCAGGCCATAGGAAGAATGCCTTGGAGAACAAGACAGTTCTCAGATCCAGCTCTGAGATTTTTATTAACATTCCTATGTTATTCAAATGTATTTTTTTTCTCATTTTACCATGAAAAGTATTATTTCTTTTTGAACTGCACTTCTTTTAAAGAAGGTTTGATAAGTGTCAGTATTTTGGCATGCATTTCATTCCATATCACTCTTGCAATATACCACTTAAATGCCACTTAAAAAGGTATAGTTAGAATACTCCCTTATTATTTGCTGTCTCTTTTAATCCCACTGTTGTTTTTTGTTTGTTTGTTTTTGCTTGACACAGCTGAGAGCACTGATCTTGTTTCTTAGTAAAAGCCAAAGATGGGTATCTGATGAACATAATGCTTTGCTTACTCAAAAATGCTGCACAGCTAACACAAAGGTTGACAATATATTCACAGTTAGCTATTTAATAACCCGTAATCAATTTGTCTTTTATTTATTTATTTTTATTTTTTGACATACATATGTAAATTATTGCATTAATAGAGTATTTCCTTACTACTTCAAAGAGTCAAAAATCTGCTGTTTACACATGTTCAGGGTGACCTTTTCTGGTTTTAAAATAAAGCCTCCAGTAGCAGCATAGAAACAAATCTTCAAAAAACTCTCAGGACACAAGAAAAAAGAAAGGATGGATTAAATTCTTAATTTAGATTCCCTTTAGTTATTGTCATCCCACCCTGAATTTCTCTGTGGATAAAAAGGGGGCAGAGAAGGGTGCATGGATTTTTTTTTTTTTTTGTATTTTTTAAAGTTAGCTGTCAAGACTAAAAAGATGATTTCATTAAAATGCAATTAGAAGTTCACAAATTTTTCTAGGCTTTAAATTTTTAATTCACTTCCTCTTTCCTCTGGGCCATTCTCAAAGTCTTCAGAATATGCCAAGATTTTTTCAACTAAAGGCCCAAACCACTTGAATGACTCATAGTGTACTCCAAGAGGGCAAGTTACGTCATACCCTCTGATAGGGATGCAAGGACCTGAAAATTCCTTTGGAGGTTTAATTTCATTTTCCCTTTAGGTTAGCTACCATTTCCTTTCTGAAGCGGGGTAATACTTTGTATTACACTGTCTCACATCTACCACCACAAAGCATTTTATATACATTGTGCTTGATTCATTCCATTTGAGCAGGAAGGGCTTCTACAGGAAATAGGCAGTCTGAATTCCAAATACACAAATATCTAAAAAAAAAAAAAGCTAAGGAAACTTTGAGCACCTTCAGAGTAGTTTGCCAGATTTACCTGGCATTACCAGATTAAAATTATTTTGTACACTAAGGATATTGACAAACAGTGATCTATTTGCTTTTTTTTTTTTTTTTTTTTTTTTTTTCTGCAGTCTCCTTAGATGGCCTCTGAGAAATTGACAAGAGTGTACAGAAAGCGAATATATTTGTATACAATACCTGCAGATTAGATCTGTAATCTCAACAGCCCTCTCTTTTTGATGCAAATCATGAAACACAACTGAAGAAGAGCCACAGAGGGAAAGCAAAGAGGGAAAAAAAAATGAGGAAGTAACGTGGTTAGTGCCAGCCCTCAGCTGCCCATACAGAGATTAACCAAGCTGCCTCTCAGGAAGCTGCATAGCCATTATCCCATCAGGCTGTGAATTAACCAGTTTACAAAGAGTTGTAGCTGAGAGGTCTCAGCAGTTCAGTCACCTGCCATTGACTACCCTTTCCTCAATTACATGTTCTTTGTATCTTCTTATAACCTAATTTCTATACCCTTTCTATTATCAGGTTCCTGCTGTATTACCGTGGCTAGACAACAGTTGACTGGACCTTTTCCAAATGGTTATGTGTATAATATCATCTTATGGGAAATCCTCACCACTACATTTTCATACTGTTGCTCTTTAACTAGGACTGTAATTACACAGTTTAATTAGATTTGTTTGACATGCATTCAGATTGTGTCCTATTCTTTACTTGCAATGTGATTCGCCCCTCCTCTATAAAATGATAGTCACAATCTATGCCAGCATGTATTGAGTTGCATACAATGTATCTGTTGTTATTTTGTCATACCACAAAATACCACATTACCTTTTGATCAGTATTACTTTTCTCGATTATGGCTGTGCTGCTAATGGAACATGTTGAAGTACACACAACAACGAAGCACTGCGACAGTTGCCAAATATCTGAGTTCTGGAAGACATTTGTTCCAAAGCCATGTAAAGAAAAGAGAGGTGAAAAAAAAAAAAAGATTGCTATAGATAAAGCTCACTAAAACATGTCCGAGGACATAAGAAAATTGGAAAACATCCCGTGTTATTTGGACAGAAGTTTATGTTCATGCAATATTAATTAGGCAAGTTGTGACTGAACTCTGGGCACTGTACTTTAAGACATTAATTGATTTTCTACCCTTTCCAAAGGACAAATGTAGTAAGGACAGAGATAATGTCATTAACCCTGTCTAAGATGTCTTCTTACTTCTTATTCTGTTTTATTAAATGGTGAAATTGTCTTTAAAGTGGTAAAAGGAAAGCTGAATTATAAGGACAATTAATTAAAAATATTTGTTCTTACTGTAAATTTAATTATACCTGACACTGATACAATTAATTTTTAAAATTGATAAGTATTTTTATTTTATTTTCCTCTGTTGCACATTACCCTGTCACTTAACAGAGATTAAGTGTGCTTTTATTAAGTATGTGAGCATCCGAATTCTGCAGTACTAAGCAATTTACAGACTGTTAGGAAAAACTTCAGTTATTTTGCCTTTGAGCTTCTAGAATATGATGATAATACAAAACCAATTGCAGTGTCTTCATTGACAAATATCATGCTAATGCATCACTGGGATGAGTAATGAAGTGTCTAGTTCATCTTCCACAGCATATAACTCACTGATTCCAGTATCTTCTCCTTTGGATGGCAGCTGATTCTATCCAATTTCTACCTCTAAAGAAAAGACCACATTCAAGATTCAAAGTCCTGCTCCGTCTTTAAAGAGAGCTTCTTTCAAGTGAGAAACAGCAGACCTTGCATATTTCCTATCCTCAACTGCATCCTAGCTTGCAAAGCTAAACAAATTTATGGATCCTCTCCTCTTTTAATAGGGAAAAAGGAATGAATTTGTCAGCTGATCTATTCATTTCTCTAACACCCTTTCTTTCCTCATGAAAATGAACTTTATGACAGCAACATTTTTCTATTCTATAAGAAAGAGTAACAGAAGCTGTGGTATTTCTTAACAAAGATTTCCAAGTGGCTGCTGTCCTTTGAAATGGCACATAACATTGTATTATGTCCAGACTGCCTACAATTCTGAATAGATACAAGAAAAGTACATCTACTTTACTAACCACATAGACTGCTTTAAAAACACTAAAATCTTCAATATGATGAAATTCTAATATGAATTATATTATTAATAAGACAGACTTTTTTCACTTTTTTCATTTGTACCTGAAGTTTGTGTTAAAGGAATGTTGCAACTCAAGGTTGCCAAACATATAGAGTATTATCAATATGTACAATATTACAATGATATCTTCAGAAAGTTGAGGTGGCCATTAAACTACTCATCCTTAAAAAGAAAGAATGTGAATCATGAAGAGAAAAAAGCCACCAAAATGTAATGTTTTTAATGTCCATGCTTAGCAGCCTTTTTCCAGCAAAGCTCTGAACAGCTCACAGTGCACTATGTACTACAGCAAGCATGAGTGAATCACAGACATGTCCACAGAGAATTCTTTCTAAGTATTATGGCTGTTACTTTAATCCCCAGTCTCTCCTTATTAGAGTTAATCATCTCAACATATGTGTTAAAGAGAGCTATACAGGTAGCACTAGAAATCAATTGCCACCCAAACCTCTTGTGCTTGTTTCAGTAGCCATATCTTCAACCAAACATGGGTTAACATATTGTAAGTCTTCAGTTTTCCCCTTTGATTCAACATGGGCCAAATGCTTTATTCCCCTATTCCACAGTACAGTCATTAACTTCATCTATTTATATTGTCATTATCAATTTGATATGTGACTACACAGCAAGGCAGCTTTTAACCAAGTCAGCTGTACATGAAGCCTATAATAAATCTTAATTTTAGGGTGTATATTCCCAGAAGACTTTTCTCCCTCTATTACTGAAAAAGAGGCTTCTCAAAAACAGGTGCAAGAAAATATTAAAAGTGCGTGCATATCCACTCAGACATATGCTCCCACACAAAAGAAAGGAGTAGTGTACAATCTACTCAGTGCAACACAGAAATGTAAGTTATGATTGTCAAAATTAAATTTGGAAAATAACATATTTCAGCTCTTAATTGCAGTCTGATTCCTTTGCCTGCTATTGATAAGAGTGCATGGAAAGTATTCCCTAACAGAAGCACATACTCAGTAGCACATACTATTTCTGGATTTTGCTACCAATACCCACCTATGACAGAACCAATCAATAGGGTGAGAGAGAGTGAAGAACATTGCTAAGAAGAAACACTACACCTTGTCATATCAGTGTTTTTACCATTTGTAAAAGATTCGATTCTGACAAAATATGTGCTGTAGAAATAATTTGTTCCACTCACAGGAGGCTGTAGGCAGCTGCAGGCAGTTTTTGCCTTTGGCCAAACAGAACAGTGCCTCCATCCCACTTAGATTCTGCACTATGATCTGCAGACACCAGCATTGGTCTCCCTTTTGGTTCAGCAGTATTGTACTTTTTTTTTTTTTTTTTTTTTTTTTTTTTGATGAATAGGAAACCATTATTATTTTAAATGAAAATCCAAAGCAAGTTTTGTAGGGCTTGTAATAACTTACAAGAATAAAAATTATTCTGTTTCAGCTACTCTGAATCTCCCAGGCTCTCTGAAAAGGATGTCTTAAATCCATCTTTCATAGAAAAATCATTCCTATACAACACATCACACAAAAATCCTTTAGGGCACATAATGACAGTCAGTCTGCTTAAGGATCCCCCTAAGAGTAATTTATTTTTCCTTTCCTCTCATAAACAATAGTAACATTAATAATAATCAGAGCTGAGCAGTGAGAAGTTTTAAATATGGCCATATATTATACATAATTGCTGCAGTGGTGCTATGCACTATTAAATATTTGCCTGCAGATGGCTGCATTTCAATGGACAAAAACCATACTGCATA